GACTTCCAAACCCTCTCATTGTTTCCTTAAGATTAAATTGTAACAGAGTGGAGTACATCTGTAAGGAATGGACGAAAAATAATTTGTATCTCATATCATTTTAGAATAAGTATACATCCCATAAGGGAATTTTCAAACTGCTCATACAATAGGTATGTACATTGCTCTATGTGAAATCAAATCAGTATTCTAAACTGCTGCCAAGAGGCAGGTCAAGATACTTGGAAGGCTCTTAAGGTTTAAAGTATACGACAGTTTACAATGATTATTTTACAAACACATGCACGTTTCACTCTATATACAGAAAGGAATATTAAATTAAACTAAGTGTTTAATGTGATTTAAACACTGCTTTGCATTTTCTAATAAAAGATTTATCATGTCAAATCAGATATTTGCTGCTTCATAGAGCTACCGAAACAGAACTGTTCTGCTGTCAAGCAATATAAATTTAAAATAAAAATTTAAACTAGAGGCTTATTATTTACAGACAAACACTGTCCAACATTTCTAATCCTTCAAAACACTCTCTGATTCTTTGCAGGAAGGGGAAAAAGTGCACAATGTAGAAATATTTATCTATAAACAAGTAATTAAAATTAAGTGTAATCGTTAAACAACATAAAACATATACTAGCACTCTCTTCCAGAAAGATGTCTATAGACTGAAAAGTGAGGACTAGATAAACTACTCACGATACACTGAATATGGAAAGCATTGTTCAAAAATATGAATATTTATAATCAAAACAAAACATGGTCTAAAAATGTAATGTTTATATCATTACGGAGATGCTTGCAAATACTCTTCTCACATTTGTATTCCATTCTTTTCAAATAGAACACCACATTCTATGCATATCACATAGCAAACTGAATTACAATTGCATGAAAATTGAGAAATGCCTGATCACAAATTTTAACTTTAACTTTGGCATTCTAAATTAGAAGCTGCATTTTCCTGTGCTACAATTAATGAGCCATGGAACCAACAGCATCTTTTGACCTTATAATTCCACTTCAAAGATCCATGTTCTACAGTTTTCATATTATTTTTTAATATTTGCTTTGATGAAAAACACTGGACAAACAGTTAACAAGGTATTTCTGAAAAAGTTAAATACTTTTGGGTTAAGGATATGGACAAATATCAAATCAGATTACACTGCTGAAAGGATGAACTATTCCTTTCATGTTGACAAAATGTGTGGTTCTTATAAGACATGGTAATATCCAATAAAACGAAAATCAGGTTTTGAAAAGCTAGGAGGTAAAAGAATCATGATCGGCAACTGTGTAGAGGGAAAATAGGATTACATTTATTGGCTACTATATTAACTTCTCATAAAATCCTCCTCATCTATTATATAACTTCAGAACTGAAGTATGCTCTCCTATGGGAGTTGTAAAACAAATTAGATACAATTACAATTCAATACAAATAAGAATAATAAAAAAACCCCTAATTACCCTTAAGAAGATTCTCATTTTAAAGCTTTATCATTTAACTTAGACCAGAATTTTCCCTAATGAACCAAGTGGGCCACTTGACACAATTATAGATTTTTATATTATGTTTTCTATAGAGAAAAATAGTTGATTATGAGTAAATTCTGGAAAACTGTGCTAACTACACCTCCCCAAAGTGAATACAACAAACATCTGTTGCAAGAACTGCTTGGCTTTCAGACAGTATGTAAAGGGTGTTCTTTTTCCCAGTGTTTTGCTATTTAAAAAAAAAAAAACTTGTTTAAAAAAAAAGAAAAAGCTTCCACTATCAATTCTCAAGACATAAAATCTTAAAATTCTGGTTAAGTTAAACACAAGTCATTACTAGGTATATTATCGAAAGGGAAACTATGCAATGTACAAGACTCCACTTGCATTATAAAATGGCAACAAAATAATTGGGCATGTTGCCCTCTGTTTGTGGGTTACAAAGTAATTTTAACCATTGTCTTTCTATCTTAACTCAGTTCTCTCCACAAACATAGCAACGCCCATAGCATAGAGGACAGAAGTTAATATATATTACTTCCTGATGCTTTTCACCCTCTGTTGGAATCCCAATGATAATTCAGCTTTCTCTTTGGATTTCACTGGGCTCTACCGGCTTCTCAACTACTCAACAATATCGTGGTATCTTCATCAAATGACTAAGGAATTAAAGTTTAACTCCAGTGGCAGGATAAATAATTGCAAAAATTTGGCATAATGCATTCAGCACACAAGGTAATCATTTCAATATGGGGGAGGGATTCCTCTTTTCCTAACTGCATCAAAGAGTTGTTCAGTGCTTTTTGGTAAATTGAATGCATTTTCCCCTGATTCTGAAAGAACAGAATTTTGCCTAAAATTCACAGGTATTTTGCTGAGTAAAACACTGCCTCTTTAGCGTTTGGGAATTCTACAGAAGTGCACACAACTGAGCAGGTAGAAATGAATAAACAATGTTTATAAGCAACAGAGCACAGAGCATGCAATGTCTTTATGATAAGGAAAGAAAGAGTAATAAACAGATGACCACTTCTAAACATATTTCAAGTAACATGTAACTTTGCTCACTATTTAATCGTCTGCTTCCTCTTCTACCTATGCCTACTGCCACCATTTTGAGGTTATTGTTTATAAAAAGTTTAAGATTCAGTTTCATAATTCCATTTTTATGCTAACAGTAAGATGCTGATTTATTTCCCAAAACATTCCAGGGAGTATTTCAACAAGGTATCCTACTACTATGCTGAGAAACCTTTGTCATTCAAGGAATGGGAAAAAAAGGAAGCTTCCATTTCTTTTTCTCCCAAATCTAAAGTATGGGTGCTTCATTATGTTTCGACAAACTTCAAGACCTATAACAGAATTTATCCAGGTATTCGATTAAAGCATTCTAAAATGTTAACACACACTTGGTATAGTCAGTGTTTATAGACTCATAGGGAAAACACTTTACTTAAAGCAGTCCTTAAAATGGTATTTACAAATTCCATCACAAGCAAAAATTTTAGGAAAATTCATTTAAAATTGATCTAAAAAGGAAAGTCAAAGTCACATATGCTTCCAGTATACACAAGTTTAGAATAATTTTTAAATCATATCTATATCTATAGTCTCTGTCTTACTAAAAGATGAATCACAAAAAGATATTTGTGTTTTTCCTGGGAGATATAGCCAGCCAACACATACAACACATACTCCAAAGCAATTAATTAAAAGTTTCCTTTACTTAATGTCACAGTCTTTATTTCCTTTAGAGGATTACCATGAACCATATGTTAGGTTTAAAGGACATTAGCTTCAATTTTATGGTATCTAAGAAAAACAGATATACAGTTTCTTAAATTTAAAACAAAAAAGTATTTGCAGCTATTGCTCATAATTTGAATAAAGTGATTTGAAGTTATAATGTCGCTTGTATATTAATTTCATATTATGTGTTTTATTATATACGTATTACATATATTTACACAAAATGTTAGACTGTCTATGTGTATTTTATAATACATATATACATATTTCCCATAATGAACTCAGAATAACAATACATTTTCAGCAAAGTACCTTAGCATCATAAACTAACTTAACACTCATAACTACCCTTCATTATATACAATTATGTCCATTCTACATACAGAAAAACTGGTTCTGAGAAGTTAAAAGATTTATCTAAGGTCTTAAGAAGAGATCAGGAAGGCATCACAATTACAATACTGAAGATCTGCACATGAATGACTCTCTGAATAGATTTACCGCTATTTTTTAACTCTTAATTACTTAATATTATTTATAAGGCATTTCACAAAATCTGATAATGGAAAAGGGTGCTAACTACTTAATGCTGAATGAGGCAACTAAAGATAGACATGAGCTCTGTTTAATGAGAAATCTTTGCCTTCTTTACTATTTTTCTAAAACTTAAACGAAAATTCTCTATCTGTGGTCCCGTGTATACTTAGTACTTTAAACTTCAAAGTGAATTATCCAAATTAATCCCACTCACTTTTCATAAAACAAATTGCATCATTCCCATTTTACAGATGAGAAGACAGGCACAGGAACAAAGCCATTTGCCCATGGGCCGAGCCCTGTGAGGGAGGTCTGCAGTCAGAACATGTTGTGTCCTTGGCTTCTCATTCATTTTCCAGGCTAAAGAGCAATGTCACTCCTATTAATCATCCTATTCCAAAATCACTAAAGGAGGCACACAGTTTACTGAAGCAAGGGGGAAAACATATCCTACAAGTTATGATGTGAAGGAATACATCAAAAGCTTCGATTTCACTGTACTTAGATTAAAATTCACTGTAAGTTTTGAAAACTATTCACATATCTTATTACTTCAGAACCATGAATCAGAAGCTTTGCTGAGACACTGATTACTTGCCCAGAATCAGTCTCAAGCTTTTATAGGCGAGATACAAGCTAAGAAATGAAATTAAAGGAGGGAGATAAAGAATGGGTCCATATTAAAATGTACTTGGTGGCACGGAACTTCCAAGATAAGACATCAATTTTCAGCCTGGCTGATTACAGAATAGGACCCGCTGCTTCTAGTCAACAGTGAGCACTTCAGTGGGACAAGCACGTAACATTTGAGGGCAAGTGATGCATGGTGATACGCACGATGCATTCCTTGAAAAGCTGAAGAAACAAAGAATGAACTAAATAAGCTCATTCTGTGTGAAATAAATGTTAACTAACCAGGCCTTTAGCCATTCAAAATCGATGAGAAAAATATTTAGATTAGTCCTCTACCTTTTGCTAAACAGTTAAAAAAAACAAAAACAGACAAAATCTTTGCTCTCCAAGTGGGTTAGGCACGTAAACAATAATTCCTATCAGATTGATATAGGTTTTCTGCTTTCTAAGAAAACGAAGGTTTCACGTTGAAAACCAGAATTACCAGCATATTCCTAATTACAGGCATCTTTTCCGATCCCAATGTGGCAGCAAACGTGCAACAAACCAAATAGACAAAGAGTTGTCACATTAAGGAGACGTACCTCTTGTACTGATCGAGCAGCTGGCTTGTCTTGATGATTGGCCAATATTAAAAAGGGTAAAGTGCATAACTGTGGGTGCTGAAGAGCTGAGTGCAGTTCATTTCTAGCAGTTTCTAAATCATCTTCTGAAGAGGCACTGTCCAATACAAATATGACCCCTTGAGATCCTTGGTAGTAGCGGCTCCAGTATTTCCGGATATTATCAGCCCCTGTCAAAAACAAAACACATTCTCTTCTTAAAAATAGCTTTCGGCAACTGAAAAATGTTCCCAGCAGTAATTCCTGTTGGAAACTCATGTAGCATTTAAAAATGAAGTGCAGAGATCATGGGTGATGAGAACAAAGAAGACTTCAGTACCCAGAGGTGGATGTGAACTTGAAGGAGAACAAAGAAGTGTAAGTCATTCTTCACGCCTTTCTTATCAAAACATGTGAGGAAGGACCAGGATAAATACTGCTTAGACTTCAACTCCAAAGAAATGTTTTCAGATTTTGCTTTATAGTCCTAAATAAGCAACACTCTCTACAAATTAAGTTTAAACCTATCTCAGAGAGCACTGTAACCTAGCTGCTCACCACAGCATCTCTCCAGGCCATTGACATTAGCTTGGTGACATTTTCTGAAAGAACCACTTGCTGACAAGGACAGCCTTGTTTAATGTCATCTAGAAAGTTAAAGCTATTAGCCCACTACCTGTGTGTGCCCAAGTGCTGAAATTTATGATGAACTAAAATCTTGGCTCTTGGAACATTCGCATAACCCCACTTGGCAATGAGCACACTCATGGTCTCAGTACGATGGGATGTTCATAAAAAAGACACAGAGATTCTCCACACCTAGGGCCACATCATATTCCTCTGTGGACTTACAATATCCAGCACCAGGTATAACTAAAGGTTCAATACAGGAATGAGGAAAATGAAAAGAGGAAATGAAATTATGCATTAAGTAGGCTTTAGGGATTTTGAGACCAGGAGGAACTCGAGAGACTGTCCAGTCTAACTCTTTGAGGAAACTGAGGCCAAGAGCGGTGAGCTGGCTAATCCCCAATTCATGGATCTATAAATCACAAACTTGAGACTGGCATTTGCGTTAGGAGACAACCTGCCCAGGGGACGGCATGTGCATTTCCCACATCATGACGATGGCTTCCTTCACTTTGATTTATGACAATTTATGTGTGTGGCAGGGGGAGGGCGGGAGAAGGCGGAGGGATGGCAGGCTTTATTGGGTATATAACAAAAATTAGATATCAAAGCATTTTACCAATTCAGTGTATATGATCAAGTCTTCACCAGTTAATAGTTACATTTTAGGCATCTATTGAGCACCTAGCTCTGAGTTGGACATAACGTGCTAAGTATTAGTGATACAGAGTGGGAAATGGAGTCACTGAGGAAGGAGAGCAAACTGTGTGCATCTCTCCCCACCTCTGTGTTCAGGGACGTCATATTGGAAGCTTGAAGTTGGATAGGGTAGGAGTACTTTCACCATGGACATTAGGAAAAGCTATATACCAGGTATTTTCTTCTCCTGAAGAGCCAACACACCAGTGGATAACATTGAGCAGATCTTATTTTTTTTCTGGGAAAAGTATAAAAGCAATCCAAAGATTATAATACAGGATAATAAAGTGCTGTGGTAGAGAGACTCTGTAGGTGCTCTGGGAACAACATATGAGGCATCTCACCGAGAGTGGGTGAGTCTCTTAAAAAAGTAACATCAAGGGCCGGCCGAGTGGTGCGTTCGTTAAGAGTTGGCTTGGGATGCCAGAGGGCCCCAGTTCGGATCCCACATATGAGGGCCAGTGACACTGCCCTCTACAGCTAAGATGCTGAACAACAGCTCAACCTGGAGCTGGGCTGCCATGAGTCGCCGGCGACGCCAGGTGGGTTGCCATGGGCTACCGTGTGTAACCAGCAGCCAGCGTGAGCAGCCAGCAGCTGCTGTGAGCGGCCGTCCAGAAGCCGGCGACTGATCTGCCTCACCCGGGAAGAGCGCAATGATGGTGCCAACTTGGGCCAGTGAAGCAACATCCTCCACAACTAGACTGAAGAACAAAAGGACAGCAACTTTTCTGTTTCCCTTCCCCCAATTCCCCAATAAAAATCTTTATTAAAAAAAAATAAGTAACATCAATAACCCAACCGCTACCATTTATTAAGCACTTCCTACATTCCAGGCACAATGTTAAGTGTTCTTAAAATAATAGCTCATATAACCCTTGCAAAACCCTAAAACGGAGGTGGAATTGACTCAGCTTTGAAACTAATTTTCAGACTTTAAAATCTGGGGTATCCATCATAGTACTATACTGACATAACCCGGTATATAAGAAGGCTAAGGGCATTTGATGGTGAGTAACCTTAAATGCAAAGACATGGGGTATGAGCAGGCTTGATGCCTATCTGTCAGGGTCCAACAAAGAAAAAAAAATTAAAGCTGTAGATTACTTAATATAGGGAGTCAGTTGCATAAGTGATGGCGGAACCAAGAAATAACAGGGGTGCCGAGAGGAGCAACAACTCTGGGCAGGTTCCCTCGACATGGCACTTGTGATGGCATTTCTTGTACACCTGATTATAGACAACCTGACTATATACAGAGTGCTGTCAGGAGACACCAGGAGTAAAAGAATCAAGCTACAATGGGAGAAGCTAAGCAAAGATATGGTTTCAGAAACCTCACCACAGCTTGATCCAATAGGAGCTCTAGAGTGTGCACTGAACTACAGAAGTGTCTAGTCTATAGGCAAGGGGGCCAGGCTGTTATGCCCCTGAAGAGTCATTGGCGATGAGCCACCCCTAGGGAACAGGAGGGGTTGGGGCACGATTTCATAATCTCCCAAGTATGTCTGGTTGAAGCAATCACTGTCAGCCAAGGGCAGGCCTCTAGACAAGGCTACAGGTGTGAGTCATTAGCAGCCAATCCCCGCAGCAGCTGGGAGATGGATGCACTGGCCCAGTAAAGGAGATCTGGGTAGGATACCAACTGCATCTGCTACAGGCTACATCCAGGCATTATCCATATGCTAGAGAACCATCCATATGACTGAGGAGCAAAAGTCGAGGCAGTGTTACCTGGTGGTGAATGCCTAAAACAATAAAAATATTGTCTGCATATGTATCCACACATAAGGTTACAAAGGCTACTAATGTAAAGAATGTGTAACACACAATTATCATATGATGAGAATATAAGCAATATGCTTTACTGTGACTTCTATAGGGCTCATTAAATGCTCACAGAATGCTTTCATTGATTTGGCCCAACTTTCGTATCCACAGTCAACCAACAGCTGCAATTGGCCAAGTGTGATTTTAAAATAAATGTTGGTTGTGCTAAGTGTTTCACATGGATTAACTCATTTGTCCATGACAGTCTTATGAGGCAGGTACTGTTATCACTCTCATTTTATCAATAAGGAAACCAAGACACAAAAACAATGACATAACGTGCCCAAGATTATACACTTAAAAGTATACTTAGGTCTAATGTAACTGAAATTGAAGGATCATTGACCAGAAAGATGATGAAGCCACATAAGGAATTCTACTACCACCCAAAAGCCAATGGGAAAAAAGGAACCTGTTGGAATAAAAGGTACCTACGTGCCTATATATATTGATGCTCATAGTGGGAACAAGGCCAAGAACATTTCCCAGCCAATTAACTCAGTGAATAGTATTATAAATGCCTATTCTGCACGAGTCACTGAAACCTTTGAGAAATATTCAGAAGGCCATTATTCCTCTTAGCTCCAACTCTCAAATCCTGTGAAGTAATACTAATTACAGTGAGGCTTGCAAATACAGCAGAGGGATAAATAAAGTCACAGCATTCAAGGTTCTCTAGGGAGTCAAGTATAAAGAAAGTAATACTGGCTGCATGTTTTAATGGAACTTGTCCATTGGAAATACACGGGACATACTGGAAATCCAATGTGTCAGTTCATCTCTTTCAACAGAAAAACTCTATTTTCATCTACCACATTTAGGAGCACCAAAGTTACCAAAAATAGTGAGACGAAATGACGATAAGTCCAATGACTGTGTTGGTAGATTAAAAAAAAACAAAAAAAAAACCCCGAAAAGAAATACCAAAACTTTAAAAATTGTCCCTTATATGACCTAATATATGAATACATTTTTATAAATAGTAAAAGCCCTTTTCTTTAGTCTCCTGCTACATAGTCATCTGCCCAATCTTAGCATTTCTAACTTTCAGCACAAACACTGAGGTTGGCATTCCAAATTCCAGTTCTTCTGTACAATGGCTTTAGTCAGCTGCAGCCTAAACCAGATGGGGACCATAGACACCAGCAGTGGGGTGAAGGATGGTACACCATTGTTTAGTCCAGCTGAGTGGACCTGAGTTTTGGCAAGAGATTAAAATGAGACATGGCTGTGTCATCATCCCAGCTGACAGGTGCTTTGAGAAGGAGCCTAACTGGGAAAAATAAAAACACCTGTTCAATGTCCATATCCCAAAACTCGTAACCCAATAAATTAAATCCAAAAGGAATAATACATAGAACTTCATATCTAAGAGCAGTCCGCGGCCTCTCTTATTCTAATGACTGAAAATTGTGTGCTCTGTGTCACTTAAATTACGATTATTAGATACAAAGATTAAACATCAAACTCAAATCTGGTCTATTTTTCATACATTTAGATTAAAAAACAAAGGGCAATCTTACCAATAGGGACGTTGGGTGGAAGGTGTTGCCAAATGTCCTAGTCACTCAAGGTCCGATAAAGCCTGACAAAAAGTTGTAAAGAACCCTTGGGAATCTAAGAGTTCATTCTGAGAGCCCATCAATCAGGACAGCCTGGGTCAAGGTACCACAACAAGAGTAGAGAGAGAAGACAGAAGCATAACATGTCTCCGCGGTGCAGGTTCATTTCTGTTGCATACTATGGACGTCAATAACATTCTCTTATTCATCCATCCATCCATCCATCCATCCATCCATCCACCTAGCAGATATTTACTGAGCCCCTGGCACCATCTTAGGTGGTGGGGATACAGAAGGAAACAAAACAGACCAAAATTTCAGTTTCCACAGTGCTTACATTCTCTACTAGCACAGCCAGCCTGCCATTAGAGAGGTTAAAAATGTCAGGCACTCGTTTTACCAGCCTCTCTCCCTCATAACAGAGACATTCTCATTTGATTCTGGTGAACTGGGACTCAACAAAGGTCTGC